GTGGTTTAAAGCTAAAATCCAGAAAAGCAGAAGGAGAAGATGGATTAACAGCTGAAACACCCAAAGAAATGGGAGAATTAGGGAAGGAAGTAATGCTTAGAATTTGCAATGAGATTTGGAATACCGGAAAGTGGCCAAATGACTGGGGTAAACTCACATTTATTCCCACATATATAAAAAGGGTTCACCGACGGATTGCAGTAATTACTGCACAGTAGCATTGATATCACACGCGAGCAAAGAACTTCTAACCATCTTCAATGAAAGACTAAAATCAATTCTCCTACCACAAATTCCCCAAGAACAATACAGATTCGTCCCAGGTAGAGGAACAAAGAACATATTCTTAATATTCGTCAAATTATCGAAAAATCTCGAGAGTTTAACGTAGAAACATATTTATGCTTGACTACTCCATTTTACTTGTTTGTAAAATGGGATAAAATATAGCATATACTTAGAGATATGGGTACTCCAAAATATCTAATCTATTTAGTACAAAAACTATATGTAAATAATACTGCTAATGTAAGAGTTAATAATGTGGTTTCGAAAAACTTCAAATTAAAATCTGGAGTTCGACAGGGATGCATAATATCCCCTATTCTATTCAATGTATATAGTGAATATATTATGCGTCAAGTTTTTGAAGAATGCCACGGTGGAGCAGCGATAGGAAGAAGAAAAATCAAAAACCTACGTTATGCTGATGATACGGTTATATTGGCGTCAGCACCAGAAGAACTAGAACAAATTATAAATAAAAAATTTATTAAAATCCTTTATAAAAGGTATATAAAAGGTATATTCATTAACCCGTGGATAAATATATACTGTTAGACCAATACAGTTCGATTATCTGAAAAAAAAAAAACGATTTTCCGGATGTAATAGTTCTATTTAATAGAAATCTGTGATTAAATCTTCGTGGTTTTAAGTTGTTATGTTTGGTCGATTCTATCTTATGCTTACGAGACATGTAATGCAACAGCAATATCGTTAAACAAATTTTAATCAAGTTTTGAACAAATTTGAAATGTAATGATACCGCCAGATTCTAAGAATATCGTTGATCTCGCACACTTCCAACGAGAGTGTTCTCAGCATAATACACACTGGACGTCAGCTGACGAACACTATAAAGGGAAGAAAAACGGAGTATTTTGGACACATACAGGACCCAAATACAGTTTACTTCACATTCTCATACACGAAAAGCTATCTTGACTAAGCAATATTAGATAATGGTGCAAAGTGATTAAAAACACATTTCAATTCGTTAAAATTGATGAAGGTGTGGTAAAGTTGGTGTAGCCTCTTAATTTCTATGTAAATGTTATCATTGAAATATTGCTTTATTTCCAGAATTTGGAGTAAATATGTAGAGCCGTAGAGTTATTAATAAACTGAACTAGGAATAAACACATTTTTATTGCTTTACTTTTATGAACCTAGTGTACACATTTGAGCAAGAATGTTGTTGAAGGTTACTGGTTGTATAAAATAATGGTGATATCAGGTGACAATTGGCAGTCAACGTTAAATTGATTCAATGTGATTCGTAAATTCTGATGTGTTGAAAGTATTGTTATTACACTAAATTGTTAGTTTGTTTGTAGAGGTGTTGGTTATTAAAAAATACTTGCTACGTGCAAGGAAATATAAAACTGGTTTTAAATTTTATACTTTACACATACATTGCATCACGTCCTTTCGAACTGTAAAGCAGAAGCAAAAAAATACGAAATGTGTTTTATTGTTGTTTGTCGGGATTAAATTTTTTATTACTCACATTTTGTATACAAGCGTATGAATGTATTACGGATAAAATTATATGAAAAATATTTTACTGAGTATACCCCTTAGAAAGAGAAACATCAAAGGTAATTAATTATACACTGTGTCCGTAAAGTATGGAACGAATTATTTTTTAGCTAAACAGACCATTTTAAGAAATAATCCTAAAACACGTCGATTTTTGATTTAAATTTACCGAATTTTAAAATAATATTCTAATATACAGGGTGAATTACTTTCGAGTAATGACGTCACCGTCATTTTTTTTTAAATGGAACACCCCCATTTTGTCTCAATTTTCAGATTACTCTAGCTGAGCTGATTCCAAAAATATATCACATGTTGATTCAAATTGGTACAGGGTGGATAAAAATACAATAATTTTGTGTGTGTTCATAAAGTAATGCGTTAGTTAAATTAACAATATCAAAAATACTTATTGTCTAGCGGACAGAATATGAAAGAAATTATTCTTATCAATTTAAAAGAAACATAGTAGGTTATGTTTTTGTTAAATGTCATTATTTGTTTAGTAATTTATTGATGTTCAGTGACAGTTTAGTACTACAATATTTTTGGTATTTGTGAATGTTTTAATTATTGCTTAGATTTAATTTGAAGTAGAAATGGAGTTAAGTGTAAAGCAAAGAATTGAAATACTTATGATGATTGGGTATGGAGACAGATCGCGAACTCAGATGGAAGTGTGCAATTTGTTTAATGATAAATATCCAGAAAGACCTATAACGCGTTCAACAGTCAGTAAGATTGAAAAGAAATTTCGAGAAACTGGTACGGTTGAAAATGCACGGAAATCAGGTCGTCCCTCTGCAAATGCTGATACAGCATTAGATGTTTTACTTAGTTTTGAAGAAGATGCGCACACTTCTGTGCGTAAAGTTAGTCGCGATATCGGTGTTAGCAAAACAACGGTACACAAACTATTAAAGCTTGAAAAATGGCATCCTTATAAAATCAAACTTGTGCAGGAATTAAACGAAGATGATCCCGATAGAAGAATGCAATTTTGCAAAGCAATGATGGATAACTGCCACCGAGACCCTCTCTTGGTACAAAACATTATTTTTTCTGATGAGGCCACTTTCACGTTAAATGGCGAGGTTAACCGTCAGAATTGTAGATACTGGGCAAAAGAAAACCCCCACTGGATGCGTGAGCATCATACACAATACTCGCAAAAGGTAAATGTATGGGCTGCAATTGTAAGAAATCGAATCATCGGACCCTACTGTATCGAAGGTAATTTAAACGGGGCAACGGACCTTGAGTTTTTAAGGGGGTATCTCGTACCTACTTTACGTAATTTGTTTACCAGCAGATGTAATCCTGGAGGTTTTGATGAAAGTTTATTTATTATGCTGTAGATGTTAGAAGGTACCTAGATGAAATTTTTCCGAACAGGTGGATTGGTAAACGTGGACCTATTGAATGGCCAGCGAGGTCACCAGATTTCAATCCTTTGGATTATTTTATGTGGGGCCATCTGAAGAATGTTGTGTATCAAATGAAACAAGCAAACATTCAAGAATTACAACAGAGAATTTGGACAGCAATAAACAATATTTCTCAAGACATAAACAAGGTTCAACAAGAATTTGTATACCGTTTGGGTTACTGTCAAATACAGCAAGGGCTGCAATTTGAACATGTATAAAGTCATGTATTTCATTATTAGACAATAAGTATTTTTGATAATATTGTTAATTTAACTAATGCTTTACTTTATGAACACACACAAAATTATTGTATTTTTGTCCACCCTGTATCAATTTGAATCAACATGTGATACATTTTTGGAATCAGCTCAGCTAGAGTAATCCGAAAATAGAGACAAAATGGGGGTGTTCCATTAAAAAAAAATTACAGTGGCGTCATTATTCGAAAGTAATTCATCCTGTATATTAGAATATTATTTTAAAATACGGTAAAGTATAATCAAAAATCGACGTGTTTCAGGATTATTTCTTAAAATGCTCTTTAGATAAAAAAGAATTTGTTCCATACTTTACGGACACAGTGTATAAGGAGCATATTTGCCACATCGTCAAAAAAAACGTTCAACTAGTGCATTTTTCCCGTTCTTACATATGGATATTAAATATGGGCATTTACAAAAGCTTAATATGGACAGAATAGAGAAGATATAGAGACCGATGAGAAGACAAATGATAAACGTAAGACTGTGAGATAGAAGGGAGAATATCTGAATAAGACATGCTGCTAAAGATGCTACCAGGAAAAGAGCTAAACTAAAAGTAAAAAATATCCGGTCACACTATCAGACAAAGTCTGATGGACTTTTCATGCCAATACCAACACAATCAGTGACAAAAAAGATACACAGAACCTAAATAAAATATATTTCAATCTGATTTTAATAATAATAAATATAACACCATAAAAGTCATAACATATTTCCACCCTACTTGTCACAAACATCTCAAATCTTGTCATCAAACTTTCAAAAACCGAGCAAAACAAAAAGAAGAATATACGAATCAATAGAAATAAAAAGAAATAACTCAATCAATGGCAAAGAAGATGCACAGAACCTAAATAAAATACATTTTAATTTGATTTAAATAATAATAAATATAACACCATAAAACACTCAAAGTCATATTTCAACAACATATTTCCAACCTACCTTTTTCGAAAACACCAACGATACGTCCATATAAAAATAATTATATATTAATGACAAAAAACCACGAGATATCGGATATCAAGTTTTAATTCTGTCAATTTATTAGTGTCAGTGTCAACGTCAGTCAATTTATTAGTGTCCCGTTTTACGTTTTGGTAAGTTTTTTTTATATATTTTACAATAACTTTTTGTTCCTAATCTTGTACATTTTAGAATCTTGACAAATGCAAGAGTTTCCTGCCAAAACGGTGATTTCAGTGGACAATAAAATCTAGTTCCAAATTTAATATTACTTATTGAACCTAAACCCAAGAAATACTAATTTTATATTAAATATACGTTCTAGATACTTCCTTCGTTGCTTTTCATGCCGGCGAGTCATTTTCTTATCTTCAACAGAATAATTTGAGGGATATCCGCTGATCCTTGTACCTTATATTTATTCTTAATAAATATAACACCAATTACACAATGGATATTATTTTTTTACAGCGAAAATTTATTAATTATTAACAATAAACAATAAAAAACTCACCTTGTAGCCAGATCGACTCTAGTCCTCAATTCTCTAATAGTGCAAGGTACATCGCACAATTCTAAATTAGCAGATGGGAACAATTCCTGTTTTCCAGTCATAGGAGCATAGTCTACCCTTTCAGGTAATCCCCTCCATCCGAGTCTGCATACTCTGTTGACCTTGATCGTCACAAGGGCTGGGAAACTTTGTCGCATGCCGCAATCATACGCGATGACCGACAAGATATGATTGTGTGAACGCTCGTAATCCAATGGTTCAGTGTTTCTGAAAAAAAAACCAATGGATATAAATCAAATGAGTAAATAAAAAAATTAAGGCGTGAACATGAAATGAGGATTCACGTTTCATTCCTGAATACGTTGAGCATTTGAGTACTGTGCATGAATCACTTCTCCGGTCGTTAGTTTTAACCTCTGGGAACGTTGAATACTTGAGTTACCGTAATCAACAGCTTTACTGCACCTGAAGAAGTTACCTATGAAAGTAGTGAAATTTGAACGTTTCACTAGTTTACTACGTAAAGTATGGACCAACATACGGTTCAAAATCGGAAGACGATTGATTAATGCTGACTGATTAATTTAAGCCACTCTTACAATATTTATTTTTTACTGCATATCACAAGAACGAAAAGTAAAATCTAATGAGATACATAAAGATCAATAGACCAGTGGTTAATTTCAGTGGGAACGCAAGGGAACGGCGTTTCCTTACCTCCCAAGAGTGCCGGAACGCAAGGGAACGCTTTTAAAACTACAAGTTTTAGTTAAAAAAAATTGTAGGTAGGATCAATATTATGCTATGCTTTGTTTGCGAGTGACTCGTACGTAAGCAGATAGTAAGCGCCCGTACAAGCAGTTGTGACTTGTGAGCTGTGCTGTAATGAGTCTTGCACGGAATCAGGCAGGAGGAAGGTGAAGGGCGAGTCATCCTAGTTCGCGCTTGCGCGGCTGCGCCTCTCAATAACAAAGCAATACCCACCCCACCCCCTTCCTTTCCCCTCCATTCCTTGTAGTACATTATCTTCTACAACTTTTGTACGCAACCTGGCATTGATGTTCGATGCTCTAGAAGAGTTATCGGATTTGTTATTTATTTTTTTCAAAAATCAAGCCTCAACCTTATCCAAGCCCACAGTGATGTAACACTGTTAATCAAAGTGTTTGAAAACCGAGTTGAAAACATGGATAGACGTTCAGTGGAAGCTAAAATTGCTATTGACGATTTGATGTATTGAACAGTATTCCAGAAAAACAGTTCTATCGGAGCCTCGCTAACAACTTGACTTCAAGGTTGCTATCATCTTCAAATGCGGCTGAAAACTACACCAAAATCATGAATGACATCAAAGTGATCCACCCCATGTATTGGCCAAAAGACTTATCCATCACCTACGGAGAATGTGAGATCCAGCGAATCTGCGGTAGATTTAAGATTAGCAGCTCTCAGGATATAATTAGAGACTTCAGACATTTTAAGCAGGGACTGAAGCCTATGTTAAGTGGAGAGAAACCTACTATTCTAGAGCAACCGCCGTCGTTTAAGAAACTGATTTCCATCATAAATAGTATTGCAGTGTGTAGTGCTGAATATGAACGTGGGTTTTCTGCAATGAATCTAATTATGTCTCCTCTTAGATCTTCACTCTACACTAGCACTGTTTGCGATTTATTGCGGATCAGGCTCCTAGGACCTCCTGTGGCTATATACAATCCCGAGCGACACGTCAAAACCTGGCTGGCGAAGGGACACCATTCTGCACTTGACACTAAGTCAAAACAACGAGGCAGAAAACTTACAATGAAGACAGCATTGCATTGTGGGAACTTTTTTCCTAAATCTGTTTTTTAAATATCTTTTAGAATTTCAGAACATTAAGTTTTCATTAAAATAACTAGCCTATGCCTAACTTATAGTTGTGTTCTGAACTCAAGTTTCTGAGTTCTTTTTTGTACTTACTACAGTTAGTTTTGTGTATTGTTGTTTCTTTTGTAGTTTTCACTTTAAAGTTTAAAATATTAACAAACAACTAATTTTAACCAACAGTCTTGGCATTGCCTTACAATATTATACTACAAATCCGTCCGTACATATTTGTTTTATAATAAGCAAATAAAATAATCAATCTTAACTTTTTAAAACTACACTAAATTTTAAAAAATGAAACCGTGTTACTCCACTCTGTGTGTCATTTATTTTGTGTGTAATTAAACGCTTCCTTTTCCTTTCCAAGAAGTTTGTTTATTTTGAATTTATTAATATTGTTTTGTACCCATAAGGTAAGCATTTTTTTTGTAAAATATGCAAACTTGTAGTTCAAGCAAGCTGTTATATTAACAAACATCCATTTACATATTAATATGTATTATTACTACTGTAATGTGTATAAATAAAACTGTGAGTGAATAAGGCTCAATTTGTTTTTATTTTACTTTACCATTCTTAAAAAATTAATATTGGTGAGCTTCATTGATTCAAACAAAATGGTCAATGAAATACATTCCAAAACCAAATATTTCTGGGAAATTTAAAGTAGGCAACAAGGTGTTAATGGAGTAGAGTAGAGAGTAAACTCAATAATTTAAATTCATGTTTTTATTTTCTTACATCCTAATCAAGCACCTTAAAGAAAATAAACAGCATTAAAATATCACTTGGTATTTTATAAAAATGAATGTATTATTATGTCTGGGTGGCCTAAAAATAAAAGGTTTACAGTTATAATTTTCAAAAGTTTTCCTGGGTGAGGGCCCCCTCCTTCCTGGGATGTATTCCATACCCAACGGTCTGAGCTTCCCGCTTTACGAGTTCCCACACCTAAAATTTTAGAAATTAAGCACTGCAATAGACTAAGGTGGACAGGACATGTGATGCGCAGTAACGACAATCGCATTATAAACAATGTGTTTTAGGAAAGACCAGATGGGAGAAGATCTGTAGGACGACCTAGAAAACAGTGGAAAGATGCAGTCAGAGAAGAAGTGGAGTAAATGGAAAATAGTGCTACAGGACCGAAAAATATAAAAAACACGTAAAGCGTAAGAGTTGTAAAGTCATTGATGATGATGTCATTTTAAACAATATTCAAACTAATTTTTTTATTATGGACTGAAACAGAGATATATGTCAGAAAATACAGACATCTAATTGCTTTGTCAGAATTCTAATATTTGTACAAATATTAATTTTTTTAGATATAAAGATTTTTTCATCTTTCTCATGACTGAGTTTTTCTCCCCTGTCAGTAGGTTTTCATTGTAAAGGAATATTCATTTCCTGTGACCACTTGCTAGCACGACGAGGAACTGAGATAATTAAATATCAGGTCAGGGTCTTGTTTACCTTATTTGAGACCTTGCCGGTCTTGGAGGTTGTAACTTTAAAAACGTCACATGTTTGTTATTCTTCTTTAAATAATTATTTTGTTTTAATTTCCTTTGATTTTATTCATCTATTAACTTTAGCTGGCAACTCTGCTCTGTAATGTCACTTTATATCTGAAGAAAAACAAGTAGTCCTTCATCTATAAAAGGCATGCTTGGATTGCAAATTCATTTATACTATTAATTGTTTTCTTGGGGTAAGTTATATTTAATATTTAGCCAATATCCAGTGTCTTTGTATTTCATATTTTACTTCTTTTTATACACATCTCCACCTCACATGTTTCTTTTAACCTTATAATTCGTTCCATATATAAATATAATGTAACTAATTCATTTAATAACAATTATATTCATTTTATTCTTGTCAATTTGCTATTTTCTATTTATTACTGCAATTATTTTCAATCTTCATATGGCAAAGAAATATTTTAAAACATACACAGTCGCTAACTCAAGATTTATTATTTTACTTTTTTTGGGTCCTAAAATAAATTGTTCCTGTTCCCCCTTGTTGGGCGCAACTTTCTAAAAACCTCATGGTTCACCATATAGGGGGATGACAACTGCAGGAGCATAGCAGATATGCAGAACTCAATAGTTGCTTAGAACTACAACTAGCTCGATCCCGGCATCTCCATTAACTTACAATCTACTCATTCAGCTAAAATCCATCCAACTAACATCAGAAGCCACCAGCAAGTTATCCTGTCAACCACAGGCAAGATTTGCTTTGATTTTAATTTAATATTAAATTATTTTTTTATATTTGTTGTGTACAATAAATATGATAAGTTAATATATGTTATTTGTCCCAGCCAAACTCATTTTTTAGATTTACTTCTAAGATAAGACGTTCCCACACCTGAGAGACTGAGCTAGAAAGACTGAGGCATAACTTTTTGGAGGTAGTAGATATATTGTTGCCCATTGGCACCCACTTGATGGATTGTTCGAGGTTAGAAGGCGACCAGGTGGATTTTCCGTTTAGATATTTATTGGGTTTTTGACCGTTTGGATATTTACACACACACACACACACACACACACACACACACACACACACACACACATACATATATATATATATATATATATATATATAATATATATATATATATATATATATATATATTAATAAAGTATTCAACTAGTGAATTCAGAGGTTTATTCGGTCAGTCAGGTTGGCAAAATAAAAAACAGAAGTCAACTACTTCATAAGTTTATCGAAGACGTTTCGCTTTATATTTCTAAAGCTTCATCAGTTCTCTAAAATACAAAGATGACATAGAGTTTATAAGAAATACAGATCTAATATTTTATTACTTACAACTCAATATGTAGTATTAAAGATGTTATCGTATATGTACTTAAGTTTACTCATAAATTTAGAACTAACTTAAAAAAAAATTAAACAGAAATATGCAAAAAATAACATTCGCAGAAACGAAGATTTACAAAAACTTTAAACGTACATTTGGCTTCATTTAGAGATGGTTCTCCAATGAAGACAAACAAAACACTGATTTATTGCAATCTACGCAAAAAGACGTGGCGCGATACCGAAAATGTTTTTCAAGGGCCATATGTTCAACAAATTCCAAGGTTTGAGACAATTATGAACTTCTACGGGGGTCATTGAAAGAATAGTTGGACGGGTGGATTTGTAACGGAAAAATTGATATGATTTTTTTTTGTAATTTATGTTTTAATGAAACTTAGAGCTTTGAGATGATTATGTTATTGTTTTGAATGGAAAATCCGGCTATTTTAAATTATGAATATTGGTATTATTTATTTCGTAAGATGAGCGAGTGGTAAACCTGGCTCAAATTGTCAATATCGGTTCTTTTGTTTTATTGCAGATGGGTTTTTTAGGAT